CTCTCCAGGTGGGAGGGTGGAGCCATGAGCACCACAGTGGGGAAGAGGGGGCTGCCACTGCCGCCGCCTGGGGGGAAGGCACGGGCCGGGCCCCTTGGAGCGAGGCTGGGTGGGGGCTGACCCTCCTGCTCTGGGTAGCTGAGGCCCTGGAAGTAGTAGTGTTGGTACATGGTCTCATACTGGGAGAAGCAAGCTGCCTTAGAGAAGCTGCGGCCGCCGAACTTGGGTCTGCGGAAGGGGTGGGCTGGGGAGTAGGCCCGGTGCTCTAGGCCACAGCGGTGGGCGGCCAGGGTGTGGTCCAGGTGGAGGGGCGGGTAGCCGCGGATGTAGGCGGGCGACTGTGCAGAATAGAGGCTCTGCTCCCCGTGCCGATCCATGGTGAGCAGAGTGACGGGGTTCCCGTGGGAGTCCATGCTAGTCCTCGTAGGGTAGGCTGGGATGGCGTTGGTCCTGTGCACGCGGCCAGGGTAATGCACTGGCAAGGTCACCCTCTGCCGGCCCCGTGAGAGGTTGCTGGGCTCCACACACATGGCGTTGGGGTTTCCCTTTTGTTCTGGGCAGATAGGGAGAAAGAAGTAAGCAGGGTGGAGCACACTGGGGCCGCGGCCGGAGGGGAAAACACAGGCGCACAAGGAGACAGCGGCTGGGCCCGGCCAAGGTGCCATTCTCATGACCCTCCCCCAGTCGAAGTGGTCGCTAAACTTGGCTGTGCAGACAGAGCCCAACCTGCCTTTTGGTGTGCAAGCTGGCCACCTGCGTACAGAGGGTGCCTCTGCCACCACGGGAGTCCGCAGGGGCAACCAGGATGGAGAGGTAAAAGTGCCCCCCCGTCTGTCCCCAGTCCAACGACATAGTGACAGAGGAGCACTGTCACACACCTGCCACAGTAGACTTAGTCTCTTGTGGCCCTAGGAGGAAGCCCATGGTCCTGGGATGAGCAAGTAGTATTATCGTCATTCCTCCTAAAGCGATTGGGGGTAGCAGGCTGGAGAGGCCAGATGTCTTGCCCAAAGTCAGGGAGGTGGTTATTGTCAAGCCCAGGTTCGAACGTGGAACAATTCTTTTTCTTTTTCTTCTTTTTTTAAATGAGAGAGCAAGAGAGTACATGGGAGGAAGGAGGAGAAACAGGAAGGCATTTCTGAAAAGGTCTTGCCACTGCCACCCTCTGGCCCAGCCTCCTGACTAGCTGGAGTTACAGGTACACACGTCTACACCCTCCCTGCTGTGATCCGACCTGGGCCTCTCATGCGGCCCCAGTCTTGTACGGCAGGCCACACTGCTTGTGCTGCTGAGTCAGGCTCAGGGTAATTCTTCTTTTTCCCTTTTTTTTTTTTTTTTTTTTTTTTGCTAAAAGGTGTGCGTGCTTGCCAAGGGGAGACAGGAAGAAGAGAAAGCACCCCCAGAGGGAACATTCATGCTACAATCCCTTCTGCTCCATCTGTCTCTCAAGATTTCGGGCATGCACACGCGCCCACTGTATTTCTTGAGCGGCCAGGTGTGGGACTTAAACTGCAATCAGCCCTGTGAGATCCAGCTGCCTTAACCACAGGCCACCAAGCTGGCCCACTCAGGGGAATTATTATTATTATTTATGTAATTTTATTTATTTATTATTATTATTATTATTTTGTTTGCTATAGTGCACATGCATTGCACCGGAGAAAGGCAGACAGAAAGAGAGAGAGAGAAGGAAAGTGAGAAAGCAAGCCACGAGGTCTGGGACTCGAACTGTGGTTGACCACATGGGAGTCCAGTGCCTTAACCACCACACCACCTGCTGGGCCACTCAGGGTAATTCTTAATGCCAGGCTTTCCTAAGGGTCATACGGCCAACCTCCAAAACCCCAGGCCGCCATCTGTCCAAGCCCAGACTGCAGCACCGCGGTGGTCTGTGTGCTGGACTCTGCCTAGGCACTTGGTAGGGACTGTATCCTCAGCCTGACTCCTTAGCAATGACCGGGGCAAGTGACGTTACCTATGATGTTGTGCCGACAGTGGGGGCAGGTGTGGTGCTGCAGCAGCCACGGGTCCACGCACTTCCTGTGAAACCGGTGAGTACAGGGGATCACCCGCAGCTCCTGGGAAGGGAGAGAGGTTGTAGCCTGAAAGGAGGGTCCAGGACGAGTGTGGTTCTGCCTTCAGCCCTGCCCGTGTCTCCATAGAAACTGGGGGACAGGGGCTGCTCACTGCACCAGTGCCCTTTCCCTTCTCTCGCCCACCTCCAGCTCCAGGTCAGCTCAGTTCCCTGAGGCAGGGCCCAGGGTGGGCTCTAGGGAGACAGACACTGTGCCCAGCCATCCCTGGCCCCAGCCTTATACGAAGCATGCTCTCTCCTGGTGGAGGAGGACACACACATTCGACCCTAGGTGGAGAAAACGGGAGGGGTTTTCTGGGCCAGAGCCACGTCTGGGGCTCCCAAGCACCCTCCAGATCTGCTGTTTTCTGACCATTCCCACAATAAAACCCAAACCAATACCTAACACTGTGCCTGACGGACCTGTGTTCTCACAGAACCCTCGTGATCACCGGGAGTGCCGGTCTCGGGCCTATGTCGCAAGCGCAGGCACAGACAACAACGTCATCTGCTCGGGGTCATGACCCTATCACCTGCCTGGTCAGCCCACATCCAGAGTCCATGCAACAGTCTAGTATTCTATTTATTTATTTATTTACTTATTTTCTCTTTTGGTTCTTGTCATAGGGCACTTGTGCTCACTGGAGAAAGACAGAGGGAGACAGAGAGAGGGAAAGTGAGAAATCACCCCACCCAAGGGGATGGTCGCATCACAATCCCTTTTCCATTCTCCTCCGGGGAGTTTGGGCACGCACGCACACGTGCCTGGGGTGATTTTTAAGCCACCTAGTCCAGGACTTGAACCTTGGTCAGCTATGTGGGAATCCAGTGCTCTAACCACTGTGCTACCTGCTGGTCCCGAAGCTATGATTCTCAAAGCCTCTGCAAAATTCAGTTTTTCATCAACGCTTCATAAAGCAGAAGAACATTTTCATCGAAGGGGCATCCAGTGTTCACAGTTCGCGGGGGTTTGCCCCCCACTCCCCCACCTCTGTGTACATGTGCATCTATCTGCTGGAGAGAGAGTAAGCAAGTGGGACAGATATGTGGGCAGTGCGCGAGTCTAGGTGATCGCCATCTATCGTCCATGGAACTATTCTTGCAATTCCTCTGAGGGTTTACATTCAGACTAAAGAGCTTCAAGAAAAAAAGAGACATCAAGTCCCTCATCTCTCCCTAAGGAAAAACACAAGTACCAAGTCAAGCCCGAGAGCCTTCACCAGAGTGATTCTAAAAGAGTCCCAGTGTGCGAGGTACTCTTAAACCAGGCATTCGCTGGCCTGCTCTGCGCTCTAGTAACCTCTGACAACACATGCATTCGGCTGGGTCCTCTCGGGGCTGTGTGTCTGTGCTGGGCCCAGCCTCTGCAGAAGGGGGGATGGTCAGCATCTCAGGTTATCTCCTAGACATCTGGGTATTTAGGCCTTTTAGCTCCCATGAGGCTGTGGAGAGGGTCAGAGGGCCCTGCCCTTCTGGGTCTGGGCTCCTCGGTGGACCTGTTCCCCTCACCACCACCTGGGCCGGGCCCCGCGTGGCCGTTACCTCTCCGTCGATGTACTTCTCCAGGCAGATGGCGCAGTCGGACGTGGAGCTGCTGCTGAGCGTGTCCAGGGCCCCACAGCTCCCCTCCCGGCGCCCCTTGCTCTTAGAGTTGAACTTCCTGGTTTCCATCTTCTCCAGAGCCTGCACGGCCAGCCTGTTCATGGAATTCTGCATGGCAGAGTGTGGTTCGGGTTAGGGTCTGGCATGTATTAACAGTGGCAGGCACCCCGAGGTCATGGCACTCGATGTATGGGGACAGGCAAACATCAGTCTCCACGGGCCCAGAACAGCTCTGAGAAACCACTCAGAAGTCATGCTGTGCGGGAACTATCTGCCAGGCTCCTGGAGTGTCCAGGACATCAGCCTGGGCTTTCCCTGAGTGACAGTGCCGGCACAGGCCTCTCCCTCAACTGGAAGGCAGAGATCTCCTATAATTTTTTGGCCCTTCTATCTCCTAACTGCAAGACTTGGAGCTGTTAACCTGCTCTATGCCGAGGGCTCCTCCTTTCTTTATTTATTTTTTAATTTAATTTTAAAAGTTTTTGCTATTGGGACCAGCAGTTAGCGTAATGGCTATGTCGCTGGACTCCCACATAGTCGACTGCAATTCAAGTCCCGGACCCAGTGGCTTAAACTCACCCCGGGCACGTGTGCGTGCGTGCCCAAGATCCCGAGAGGAGAATGGAGAAGGGATTGTGGCGTGGCCATCCCCCCTGGGGGGTGATTTCTCGCTTTCTATCTCTCTGTCTGTCTGGAAAGTGCATGCGCCCTATAGCAAAAACCTCTCAAAAAACAAAAAACAAAAACAAAAAAACCAAAACGACTTCCTCCCCCCCAAAAAAAAACAAAATTAAAAAAAAGTTTTTGCTATAGGGCACATGCACTCACCAGAGACAGAGAGAGAAGTGAGAAATCATCCACCACAGGGGGATGGCCACACCACAATCCCTTCTTCTCTTGCGATTCTGGGCACACACGCACCTGGCATGATTTTTAAGCCGCTGGGTTTGTGACTTGAACCGTGGAGTTGGCGATGTGGGAGTCCAGTGCCTTAAGCACCATGCCACCTGCTGGTTCAAGGGCTCCTCCTCTTTATGCCACAAGAAGGTGTGAGGGTACATGAGATCATGTTCCTGGTACAGGAGACCAGGAGTGCTTAGCACCAGGGAGCAGGATGTGCTCAGTCGTCACTGGCCACTGCTCTGTCTATGGTGGCTACCGATGGGACAGATGGGACAGATGGTCCCCCAAGGTCCCTATCTCTCTCCTGAGATGAAATGCTACCTGAGAGTTTAGATTGTTTATACTCTCCTCGCTCCCCACCCCAAACGCTTCCTTCCAATGAGCACAGGGCCTTGTGCTGGTGGGGTGCTAGGACAGCTGCTCTGAGTGTCAGAATCACTCGGAGAGCCTGGGATGTACAGGTTCAGACTCAGCAGGTCCGGGAGAGCCTGAGATTCTGCATTCCTTCTTTTTTTTTTTAAATTTATTATTATTTTTTTAAAGTTTGACCAGAGAGAAGCAGAGAGAGAGAGAGAGAAAGCAAGCTGCCAGGTCTGGGACTCAAACCGCAGTCAGCCATGTGGGAGTCCAGCACCTCAACCATCTGTCAGCCCTGAGAGTCTGCATTTCTATCGAGCTCCCAGCTGAGGCAATGCCGCTGGTCCTCAGATCCTATCTGAGGAGCAGGGCTCTAGGGCACCGTGTTGACATTATTTAAACAGTTTTGAACAACACTGGCTGGGGACATCCCCAGTGTTGGACCTTCACAGGGGCCGCCCCTCTAGAACGGGGAAGGCACGGGGCTGTGAGCTGTGCCCTTGTGCTTCTCCATCTTTGCTGCTTGGTAACGCCCACGGGCTGCTCGGAGGTATTACCTGACTGCGTCGCTGCTTCAGCTTGATTTTGACCAGGAGGATGAGGCAGACCAGGGAGACCACGACGAAGAAGGCCAGGAAAATGCCCATGTCAAAGTATTCGGTGGGTTGCTGGAACAGAACACAGACACGGTGAGTCACAGCCTCTCTTGGCCTGGTAACTGGCACACAGGCTGCTGGCCCCAGTCAGTGTTAAGACGGGGCAACTGAAGCTGGTTTCCCCCGAGTGTGCGGATAACTCCTGGGGTTCAGCTTGCACATGCAGTGTGCCTTCTAGGCCCAGGTACTGTCTTTGGTGAGTCCAGGAGAGGCCTGCAGGTCTCAGAAGGCCTCCCAATAGCAAGGGAACTCAGTGAAGCCTGGCTCCTTGTGGAAGAACGCAAAGTTCAGTGTAACCATTGAGAGGGGCCCTTCCAAATAAACACAAATAATCACATTTACAGGACAAAGAAGTGAGTGTCATGTTTTGAGGGAACAGTGATTACTAACCATATAATTAATGGTTTACGACAACTCAGAAAATTGTATGCTGCTTCCACAAATATCAGCTTCCACTACAGTGAGTCATATTTACCAAAGCCCTCTTTTTTCTCCTTTAAAAGGAAGCCAGCAAGTCATTTCTCACACTGCCTCCTAAAACCTGGAAGCCGCCTCATCTAGAACATGTGTTTAGCCAAGAGGGACAGAGCACCGCTGATTGGATGCCATGTATCTCTGCACTGATGAAAGCACACGAATCGGCCTACGTGTGAATATTCCTCAACTTGTGAGGAGATAAAATGCACGTGGGCTATGAGGCTCCTAGATCCTTTAGCCTGACATGCAGGCAGAAGATGCCAGTCAAGAGTTAATGAGGGCCCAGCCTGGTGGCTCCATCAGTAGCAAACAGAACTGCAGTGCTGGAAGCCATAGGGCCGACTGTGGGTTCAGAGGAAACATGCCAGCAGCACGGTACGTGTCAAGATCCCAGTGAGCCAGAGCTGGAGGGACAGGCAAAGGGGATCGTGGTGTGGCCAGAAGTTTGTCAAGGGTGCCCCTCACCCCTGCTCCTTCTCTCATGTGCGTGCATGTACTCTGTATCATAAATAAACCAAATTAAAACATGTTCTTATAAAACAAAAAGAGAAAAACAATTCTTTCAACTTTTCAGAGTTAATTGAGGGGCCAGGTGGTGGGGCAGTGGTAAAACATAATGCTCTGTGAGGCTGACCCGCATGGGGAGGTTCTGGGTTCACGTCTTGAGACCTCCCTGAGAATGCCAGGCATATTTGTGCCCATGATCCGGGACTGGCTGAGGCCAGGATTGTGGTGGATCGGGGGACTGTCCCTCTATCTCTGTCTTTCTTGCTTATGGGAGAAATAAACTTAAAAACAAAAACAAACAAATAAATGATAAACAGTGACTGGGCCAGCAGGTGGTGAGGTTAAGCCATTGGATCCCATATAGCCGGCTGCACAATTTGAGAGCCAGACCTAGCAGTCTGAAAATCATGCCGGGCGTGTAGTGTGTGTGCCCAAGATCCCAAGAGAGGAAGGGATGGCTATATGGCTATTCCCCATGGGGAGCGATTTCTCACTTTCCCCTCATCGCTCTCTGGCAAGGGCATGCACCCTAAAGCAAAAACTAAAGAAGAGTTCATGGCCAGCAGCGTCCCTTTGACACACTTAAGAAAAGCCTCGATGCTATTCATAAGCCATGAAATTGAATCCCCGGTGAAAGCTAACTGTTCCAGACTAATGTGAGTAGAGAGTTTCAGTAAGTGATTTCCTCTGAGAGCAGAAGGAGGTACAGCCTTTCTCGAGTTTCTAGGTCAGACAAAGGGGAAACATGGGAAGCCAAGTGCAGGGTGCTCCTTCTGTCAGTCCTCCTGAGTTTGCCTTTTGGAGGGAGATGGAATAGAAGACAGAGAAGGAACATCGGGCAGAAGGGACCAGAGACATCTTAGCACACCCACCTATTTTTGGTATGATTTTTCAAAACCTCTCTGAAGGAAAAATAGGTGAAATTTCTTGGGGTCCTTCAGGCCCAGAGCTGGTCTAAACCTGTGGGGACCTGAGGTGTGTATCACCAGTGGAGACAGAAGAAGAAAGGAACGAAAACAAAACCCCAGTGGAAATGAAGGCCTCATAATGGCGGAGAAGGTGCCATGTCTGGCGCAGGGACTCACTCGAGGAGGGCGGTGCTGGATCCTTGCTCGGGCCACCTTCTGCTTGTTGACGATGTTCATCAGCTTGATGGCGTCTGCGCCCTTCACATACACCACTGGCCTCTTGAGCGGGTCTTCTGAGCCCTGGTTTAGCTAAGGAACAAGAGAGGGCTCTGGTTAACAGACGTGCTCATTGTCAGAAGCCAGAGAGAGAAAGAAAGGGAAGAGGAAAAGAATGCTATTGGGTCATCAGGAAAACCACGACGTATTTTTCTGTTGTAAGAATGATGATGACTTTTCTGACCCAATAAATACCTGTTTGGAAACCCTCACACTCTTCAAGCATCCTAGCCTTGGCATTCCCAGAAGCATTTCTGAAAACACCCCTCATCTACCCCCTCCCCTGGGTCCCTGGCTCTTGACCCCTCTCAAGACAACTCCCTTGAGTATGATGCCCAAACATGGACATCTAACTACAGCAGATAAATCCAGAGGTCCCGACATGAGGGTGGCATGACCATGACAAGTCAAGCTAGCTGACAGAAGCGCCTTTCTTGGGAGACTGCAGACCCATGGCGTTTACCTGGTCGATTGCTTCCGGGTTTTCAGACACGTCGAAGATGACCGCAGTAGCTCCCCGCTGCACTGCTCGCTTGGCCTGGCAGGGTAAAAAAGGGCAGGTTGGCTCTTGGGCCCTCTCACCTTTCCAAAGCTGGCCTTGGAAGTTAGGCCTGCACTCGAACGCAGAATCTGACAGTTACACGTGATGTGACTCTGGGCCTGTTACCGAAATCTCCTAAGTTTCCAACTTCCTATCTGTAAAGAAGGGGCGGATGCCACCTACCTTGGATAGTCATCCCAAGAACTAGATGACTAGGGTGAAAGTAAGTAGCTGGTACTCAGCGAGTCTGTCTCCTACCCAGCCCAAACTTAAAAACAAATGACAGGCCCAGTTGCACTGGCGGACACTGCTAAGCAGGACAGGACCAGATGGGAGGCCCAGGTCTAAAAACACATGACAAAACCAAAAGAAAACTACACCCAACAGATAAACTACAAACCCAAGACCTGCCCCTTGAGCACAGAGGCACTGGTGTCGGTACATTCCGCGGTGAGCAGGGCCACTGGCAACCTGGACAGACGGCCTCATTCTCAAGTGGTCCCCCTTCCCTGTGCCGCCTGGTTAGAGCTGCGCATTGAGTGTTTCTGAATGAATCTCAAAATGGTCAGTTTTAATAAGTGACAGAAGCTAAAGACCTTTGGAGACCCTGCGGTGGGGGAGGCTCTGAGAAATCATTGTAAATGGGGATTTGGAGGGGCTGGCTGCTGGGCCTGGCTGCATATCAAAAACCACTTGGGAAGTCTGTTAAGCAGATCTCCTGGCTCAAACCACAGAGACTGATTCAACAGGGCTGGAGTTGGGCCCAGGAAACGCAGTTCTTTCTCTGGGATTCAGGGGATTCAGCCACTTGGGGACCTATTGATCAGAGAGGTGAGATGAGAATGTTTAGGGGAACAGGTGAGAAATCATGACATTTATTTGGGGGGGGGGGACAAGGGAACAATTTCTTCCCATCCCAGTGAGCCTTCTGATTTCACATCCTGCTAAGAAGACCACAGGACAGAGGCTATGGAAGATCAAGACGTAACATATATCCTTGCTTTTAGGAGCCTGAGTGGTGTTAGGGAAGTAAGACTCCTATGTGGGCAGGGCAGGGCAACAAAACCAAAAAACACCCTTCTGTATGATAGGTGAATGTTAGCTAGTGCTCAAGGTCAACAGAGTTACTGCAGGCCACTGTGCTTGAGAAAGAATAAAACCCCAATTTTGATTCCTTCCATAGGAATTACCACTCCACACTGACTTGGCATAGGAGCGGCTGGGCCGATAGCGCCACCAGTCCACTAGAGGGCAGTCTCATCCCACAGCTTTCACAACAAGCCAGGTCCTGGCACCAAAGGAGCAGGACCAAAACCTTCAGGGATCCTAAGTTCTTGGGTAGCGGAGAAGCTCTGGCACTGTGCGTGCTGGGCTCTAGAGTCTTTCCTTGTTCTGCAGGTAAGTCTTTTTTGTTTGTTTTTCATTAGATTTCATGTATTAAAGTCTCTCGACTGTCCTCCCTGCTGTCTCAGTACTAGAGTGTGTGCGCTTAGAGTAAGGAGCTATTCCTGGCTACGCACTGGCAAGTCGTCAAGGAAGGCAAGTCACTCATTCCTGCCACAGCCTCAGTCTCCCCACCTGTAAAAGGAGGGCGTCCGTGCCATCATGACGAGGGTCCCTCCCAGTTCAGTCTTGCCCAACTCAGCTGCGAAGCGGAGGCTTTTGAGAGTGACTCAGAAAGAACTGTCGTGGCCCTGTCACCCTACATGCAGCGAGAGGACGCCACTGAGAAAGCATGAGATGCAGGTGGCGTCGTTTTCCTCGGAGGTTTTTAGGGGGACAGAGTCCTCCACCTGAGGCCCGTGGCTCATAGGCCCCAGAGCTAAGGTAAGTGCGTGCTTGTTTTCTGCTGGGCCGGTACCCCAGTCTTTTTCAGTTCTTTCACCAGGCCCAGAGCAGCCCTGAGGGATGGCACAGAAACGAAGAAACAGTCAGGCTCTCTCATCCCTTTACTTGCCTTTCAGCCACAACCAAGCACATCAAATGGCCCCCAGGGTGACTGTGCGTTCAGATGTGTCCTGATGGGTTGGGGCACCCAGGGCCTCCCACGCTGATGCCGGTGCATCTTGCACCTAATGGCTGCGGGAGCTGGGGGAGGGATGACTTCCCAGGGAAGCCTGTCTGTGGGATGCTATTAGCCACGGGGCCTCCTCCTGCCTTCAGTCTTCCTGCTCCAGAAGACCAAAGGACCAAGGACTTGGAGGGTCCAGATGAGGCATGATCTACTGGGACACGCATAAAGACATTTTTAAAAAAGGAATTATTTCCTTTATTTTGTCATTACTGTTATTTTCAATATGACCAGAGCAAGACAGAGAGAGAGAGAGAGAAAGTGAGAAAGCAAGCTGCCAAGTCTGGGACTTGAACCATGGTCAGCCATGTGAGAGTCCAGCATCCCTAACCACCATGCCACCTGTTGGCCCCGTTTTTAACAAAATCTAGGAGGGCAGACAAGACAGGTTTCTCCAGTAAGAGGGCAACTTGAGAATGGGTGCTTGGGTCAGCTGGCAGCATGGTAGTTAAGGTGGCGGTCCCCCACAAGGCTGACTGCACAGCGAGTCCCAGAACGACAGCTCGAAAAACACGTGTGATGTGTGTGTGTATGCCCAAAACCCCAAAAGTAAAACCAGCGAATAGAGACCCACGCTGATGCCGGTGCATCTTGCACCTAATGGCTGCGGGAGCTGGGGTAGGGATGCCTTCCCGGGGAAGCCTGTCTGTGGGATGCTATTAGCCACGGGGCCTCCTCCTGCCTTCAGTCTTCCTGCTCCAGAAGACCAAAGGACCAAGGACTTGGAGGGTCCAGATGAGGCATGATCTACTGGGACACGCATAAAGACATTTTTAAAAAAGGAATTATTTCCTTTATTTTGTCATTACTGTTATTTTCAATATGACCAGAGCAAGACAGAGAGAGAGAGAGAGAAAGTGAGAAAGCAAGCTGCCAAGTCTGGGACTTGAACCATGGTCAGCCATGTGAGAGTCCAGCATCCCTAACCACCATGCCACCTGTTGGCCCCGTTTTTAACAAAATCTAGGAGGGCAGACAAGACAGGTTTCTCCAGTAAGAGGGCAACTTGAGAATGGGTGCTTGGGTCAGCTGGCAGCATGGTAGTTAAGGTGGCGGTCCCCCACAAGGCTGACTGCACAGCGAGTCCCAGAACGACAGCTCGAAAAACACGTGTGATGTGTGTGTGTATGCCCAAAACCCCAAAAGTAAAACCAGCGAATAGAGAAACAGACTGCGGTGTAACCACCCTCCATGGGGGGTGTTTTTTCATACCCCCCGCCCCTCCAGTAAATGCACACACCTTCTAGCAAATTGGAGGAAAAACAAGAAAAAAGGAGAAACGGGGTGCTAAGTGCCTGGCGGCCTGGCTTCAGATACAACTCAGCCAGGCTATTGCACGGGGTTTCAGGGAAAAATATTTTGTTTGAGAAAATGTTTAATTCTCACGGTTGATTTACTTTTAAAATTACTCACCTGTATGGAACTGGCTCAGGATTTAAAATAAGCCATGAATAATCCATATTTAGAAAATGACACCTATTATACTATTCCCCAAGCAAACTTAAAAATACAGAATACTGCCTGGTCATACTTTTCTTCTTGCCCTACACATTTCATGAGGCAAGTTCCCCGAATTGCTCCTTGTATTTTACATCGTTTACTGTTTTACCTAGTCGAGCTTGGGCCAGAATACACTTTCTTTCTCTCTTTTTTTTTCCTTTTTTAAAAAAGAATTATTTATTTATTATTATGTTTTAAAGATTTATTTATTTATTTCCTTTTTTTTTTTCTTTATTTGACGAGAGAGAGAGAGAAAGGGAAAGTGAGAAAGCAAGCCACCAAGTCTAGGACTTGAACCATGGTTGGCCATGTGGGAATCCAGTGCCCTTATCCACCACACCACCTGCTGGCCCCTATTTATTCATTATTATTAATATTATTTTTCATGAGTTTTGCCAGAGAAAGACAGAGAGAGAGGGAGAGTGAGAAAGTAAGCTGCCAGGTCCAGGACTCAAACCATGGCCAGCCATGTGGGAATTCCAGCACCTTAACCACCATGCCACCTGCTGGCCCCAGAATATACTTTTTCAAGACAAATCCTTAAACTTGAAACAAAAACAAAAAACAACAGGGCAGGGGTGGTGGTTGTGGGGGTGGAGGAGGCTAGACGGTGGTGCAGCAGTACCTCTGCAAGGCTCTCCCACATGGGAAGGTCCCTGGTTCAAGTCTGGAGATCTTCCAGAGCACAAGCCTTGGAGGAGTGGACCGCAACATCAGGACGCTGTCTCTGCTCATGTCAGAAAGAAACTTTTCCTTTTTTTTTTGGTTAGGGGCACTTGCCAGAAAGAGAGAGAGAGGAGAAAGCCCTGTAAATATGGAATCAATCATGGCTTGCATGTCTGATTTCCTTAAGACAGAGACCCAGTGACAATGAATATGAAGATTAAGATATTAATAGAATCTGGGCTAGGAGGTGGTGTGGGGTTAAGGCGCTGGATCCCACATGGCCAAATCCATGGTTTGAGTCCCGGACCCGAGGCTTGAAAAACATGCTGGGTTCATGTGTGTGTGTGCCTAAAATCTTGAGAGGAGAAGGGAGGAGAAGGGATTGTGGTGTGGCCATCCCCTCTGGGGGGTGGTTTAGTACTTTCCCTCTCTCCTCTGTCTCTGTCTCCGGCAAGCGTAAGCACAGCCCTATGGCAGCCAAAAAAAAAAAAAAAAATAGCATGTTAATGTTCTTTATATATCCACCCAATTGTGCATTAATGATAATTTATCTTCATTAAGATGATTTAATCCATGAATTCAATCCTCATTAATGACAGGCTAGGATGACACAGACAATACAAGACAAATCTGTCAATAGACTTAGCTTCTGGGGGAGGTGGTCTGTCAGTGAGCTGGCTGGGAGGGGGAAGGAAGCGGTTTGAGAGTCTAACTCTTGCAGGATGACACGTCGCTTGTAGAAAGATATTCCAAAGTGAAC